CTAAATCCAATACTTTAACTCCTGAGGCCTGTGTAAATACCCCCTATGTGTGCTAGTCCCTCACTTCACATTTCCTTAGCATCCTCTCTTAGATCCAGCCTCACCTCCTTCCAACCCTGAATTATCTGCTAACCTATAGGGCAGATCAAGGTGCATGGATCAGGCTGGCACGAAATTCATAAGGTGAGATTTGCAACTCAAGTTTTTTATCTTACCATTCCCAATCAACAGGCAGGAAGGATCAGGCATTAGGTCAATGTGGTTTCTGGCCATGAGTATCAGACTAAACAAGAAATCCACACACAGGGAAGCACAGGCTGGCAATGAAGATACATTCAGGACCCTTAACTTCAGTCCTTCAGAAATCAACACTCTCATTCAAGTGCCACCTCTTCAAGAAAGTCTTCCCTTATACTGCTAATAGCAATTACTCTTCTTCTATCATTGAGTACTATCATGTTTACACTCATATCCTTAAAAGCCCTCATTTCATCCTCTTGTGCACATGCCTGTCTTCCTACATAACTGCTAGATCCTTAGGGCACAAACTTCACCTTATTTATTGCTACACCACCCATGTTTCTGAGCACAGAAACTTTGCTCATGGTAAATGTCAGTAAATATTTATTGCATTGGGCTGAATGGCCTTTATAAATCCCAAAGAAGGATCAAGGAGGAAGCAGCAGGGCTCAGGAAATAATTAATCACAGGTTGATTAACATTGTTTCCTCTCCATTCCCACCCCTAAACCAACCTGGCCTTCTGAAAAGCCTCCTAAGAAAGAATGTGGCTCCCTATCTCTCTCCTAGAGGGGTTGGATGGGGATAGGGCCTGGAGATTGACCAAGAAGGATGGATCAAATCACGCAGCCTTCTCGTGGATGAGAACTCTGGCAAGGAAAAGGACATCTGTCTTGCAGTAGGAGAAAGGCTAACCAATTCCTGTGATGCCAGGATACTGGACAGGCTCCCTAAGGCAGGGCTGGAGAAAGCTGGGAGTCTAAAATGTTAGAGATGTGTGTCAAGAGAGGGGCACATATCACTCTTGCTCTCCACAGATGATGCCCAAATGCTCGTGAGGTGGTATGATCCCTCAGGTTGTTGTGGAAGTGTTCATGTCTCAAAACTTCAAGTCAGAACATTTTTTTTAAAAAAAAAATATGTTTTTGTTAATTTCAGAGAAAGGAAGGGAGAGGGAGAGAGGGATAGAAACATCAAAGATGAGAGACAATCACTAATCATCAGCCTTTTGCACGTTCCCTACTGGAGATCAAGCCCAAAACCCAGGCATGTGTCCTGACAAGGAATCGAACTGTGACCTCTAGTTCATGGGTCAACACTTAACCACTGAGCCATACCAGATAGGTTTATGCCAGAACATTTCTAAGGGAACTTCAGAGCTGCCCCAGGGACAGGGTTTCATGCCCAGGGCCTGATCTTTAGGAAGCCTCACTCTTGAACTGGGCATCCCTAAAAGAGATGGGAATGAGTGGGTGACAGCCACTTAGCCCTCTCCTGGTTCAGTGTGCTGCCCATGAATAACCCCCTTAGTGAATTTCCCAAGACAATGGGCAGCAATCTCTTGAGCCTAGTAGGCTTATAAACCCCTCTCTTCCTCATGCAGTGGCAGATGCTAAAAAATAAACATTTTGTACATAAACTTTAGCAAGTATAGTTAGGAGCTAAATCAAACTCAGATGTTTAAAGTCTGTTTTGTCTCACCCATATCAAAACTTCCAAGCTAAGAAACTCAGCCTGTTGAGCAGACATTAATTCTAGTGAAAAGGCAGGTCATGTTCCTGATGAACAGTGGATGACATCTGTACAAACCCAGAGGGCTCCTGACCCCCAGGGTCCCCAGGAAATCCAAGCTGTTTTCTTCCTGGGACATGGGGGAGTTAACCCAGAGCAGTACAGGCAGAAACCTACTCCCCTGGCAGCAAGACCCCTTGTGCTCTTCCTAAAGGATTAGAAGAGCTGCTTCCCTCCAGCTAAGACATCCTGTCCCTCATTGTCTTAGTCACAAACTGCATTTCTGCTAGGGCACAAGTGCTGCTGGCTGGATGTCCCCAGAAGAATCTACTGGGAGTGAATCCCTGCTGGATACCTTCCTGAGGAACTTTCGAGGCAACTGTTGCATGCGCTCACACACACCACTCAGGCCTGCAGGCCCAGAGATTTCTAGAGCAAAGGTGAAGAGCCCTGTTGGGCTGGAAAGACACATCAGCAGTCTCACAGTGCAGCCTGCTGGGCATGCCTGAAGGTGCAACAGGAGGAGGGAGGGGCCAAGGGTGCAGGTGTCTTGCCTCCCCTCTGCCCACTTTCACTACCTGGGAAAGGAGCCTCTAACCCCAATTATCAAGTTCAGGCTTGAAGACCTAGAAAAAGGCCTTCAAAATGTAAACAGACCTCCCATCCCCACTAAGCTCTTGGGGTTTTAGGAGGTTCCAAGGGACTGGCATGAGGGTGAGGGGCATACTGGGATTTCAGGAAGAGCTGAAGCTCAGTGCTAAACACAGGAGCTGAGTACCCAAGGAAATAGGTGGGAAATAGTTCTGCTAGACCTTTGTCTGAATTATACTCAGCTTGTAACAGACCCCTCCTGCCTCTATCCATCTCTCAACACAGACCATATGGGTGCAATTTATATGTGAGGCACCAAGAGGGTTCAGTTCACATTAGGAAGTAGTAATGAAACAGCCTCATCACAGTGTGAGGCCACAGTGACTCGAGGAAGGCAGCCACAGGCATTTCTGAAAGGTGGTAGCAGGAAAGATGGAGAAGTGGTAGAGGCAGAAAGAAATAATTCTGAGGAAGCACCGGGGGTGTGGTGTCAGAGAGAGGGCAGACAGGAGGAAGAAGAAGGTTACTTTGAAAGAATCAGAGAAAGTAAAATGGATCATTTGGAAGGAAGTGTGAAATGAGTTTAGGGTGGTATCTGCAGAGTACTGGTAGCTGATCCCCACTCCTCCACACGAGTTGAGTCTTTACAAGCCATCCAGCTGCATTTTATTGTCTTCCCTGTCTCTTCTTACCCAACTTTGCCCCTAATGCTCCTGTCCCTCTTCTCTCTCCCCGATACTGTCACTCTCTCTCTTTTCTGCAGCCCCAGGAAGTCAGAAAGTTCCTTATATTACAGTGTAGATAACTCCCCACACACACTAGCCAGTGTCCCTTCCCTTCAGCCAGTATCTGAGAGATGCCTAAGGTGCAGCCTTGCTTCCTCTGGCCAATCTGTTGGCCTAGCCCAGGGTTGTGGGAGTTCCCCAGCCATCTGATCCATGAGGAGCAGTGGCCAGCCTCCAGCTCTGCAGTGCATCGTGCCCCGTCTAGACACATTTGAGCTCTCCGTGCTCAGGAACCGCCAAGCCCCAGAGCAGGGCTCTGCTCCAAAGGCAATTCTTCCCCTGCAGGTGAGGCTACTTTGGTGGCCAAAACTGAGTGCATATTAGAGCCATTTCCCACTTAGCTGGCGGCCAGTCACCTGAAGTCTCAGGGGCACAGACAGGGCTCTCTAGTAAGGAGAATTTTTATTTTTTAATCATATTTTGAAAAAAACAAATGAGTAGTTGGAGAAAACAGGCGACAGAGTGGGTGGCCACTTGAGATGCGGAGAGGAAGATCAAAGCCCACCAGGCATGGAGGAAGCAGCCTTGGTGTGGCCCAGAGAACAGTCTAGGTGGCCCATGAAAGGCAGCCAGGGCCTGGGAGGTGCTGTGGGGGAGAGAGCCTCAGTCACAGTCACCCAGTGGCCCTGCTTCTCAACCCAAGCACAGTCTTCAGCTGGAACAAACACCTGTTGTCAAGAGACGTCCAGCCAAGCTCCCAGTTCCCTGAGAAGGCACTCACAGCTCCATGTGGGAAGTGAACCTGCCCAAACTATGGTCCCAGGCTGCTTTCTTCTTCCAAGAAGCAGCTGGAATTTCTCCCTCTGGACTCAATTTTTCTGGCTACTGCCCCTTTTAAAGTCCCAGCCCAGGGCAATCATCCAGGAACATTGTCTGTGTTTGCATGCTGATTAATTAGTTCATTAGAAGAACCACAGTGACGCTATGACAGTGAGTCCATTATTTCAGTCATAGGCTGAGAGTCCTCTTTTCCAAATAAGCGTTCTCTATCAACTTTCCTTAGAGATCCCTCAGTTCAGCCTCCCAATTTAGGGCAACCAGGCTCCTGAAGGCCAAGCGGGGGCATTATTTGCCCAAAGAAATATGGAGGGGGGTTGGGCCTGAAAAAGAACCCAGTCTCCAGACTCATCTTAGTGCTTTCCCACTTGAAGTTGTTGTCTCCCAATATTCAGCTAGGAAATAGGCTGAACTCTAAGAACACACTGAGTTTCTAGAACCCTGAACCCATTTTATGCTAGTCAGACTTACAGTATTCTAGTATGTTCTTTAAAAGTACTCTTCACCAATGTTCTATAGTAGCTGGGAAAATTCTCAAGGTAACAGGACATCATTGTAGGGGCAGTGCTGAAGGAAGAGATACCAGGACCTGGTCTTTCCTCCCTTCTAATTTGGAGATGCCATAAAAAGCCCATATTACCTCTCAGGCCAGCCAGATTATTCCAGGTCTTCCCTTTTCTTAATCAACACCATTGTTACTTGGGCATAACCCAAGGATATGCTTCAACCAGATCCTTCTTTAGAACAATAACAAGAGGTGTAATTCCATTGTTTCCCTCTCCCCCTACACACACACACACACACACACACACACACACACACACACGAACAAGCAGAGACTGACCATAGTGCTGAAGGACCTCAAAGTGGAAGTCATGGTGCATCCATCTACATTATCTGTTGCTCACACAGCCTCCATTTTTCTCCCAGTCCCTGAGCTGCTTCCCTATCCATAAGACACAGCAGGGAAATAATACAACCTAGCAAAGCAATTTCTCTGCTTAACCAACAGTCTCCAGAAGCTAACGGGATTGATGGGTTTATTTTAGGATTTGCATCTCTAGAGTCTTCCCAAGAATTTCCTCCCCCATCTTACCTGATGAGGTCAATAGGTTGAAACTTATAAAACACTCCATAGCGTGCCCATTCTTGATATAGCAGCTAAACAAGAAAAATAGGGAAACAGATTAGAGTGGGAGAGCAACTGTTCACCTTTGTCTAACCCAGCAAGTCAAGATTTTACTCCCAAAACCATCCCAATGGCTTCATTTGGATGACTAGCAAGTCAAATTGAATTTTCAAAATCCAGCTCCTAGGACAGTTCTCATGAGACATTTACAGGGGAGATGTCCTAAGGCAGGAGGCTGTAGAATCTGACTTCTTCCCCAGAAAATAAAGGTGACCTTTGTCACACTCCAAGGTAATGCTGCACATAGCCATCATAATCTTTCCTTCATTATTCCTTTGTCTTGCTTACTCCAGCAAAATGAGCCCTGGCATTCTTTTATTCACTCATTTAACAAGTATTAATTGAACATATACTTTATACCAGGCACTGTGCACATTCTAGAGGATAACGGAGAAAATAATGCACCAAACATATCAGGCCATGCCATCTTGTGATTTTTCCACAGCAACGTTAGCAGAACTGGCATGAGGACAAGCTTGTGTATCAGCCCCAAGGGCAAACTACATTTTAGTGTCAAATACCTGTCCAACAATCTTCACAAGTCACCCACAAGTAATCTGGTAACAAAGCATCACTAGACATCACTTAGCTGCCCAGATACTACACAGAATCAAATTATTTGTCTAGAATTGAGACTTATAACACAGTTACTACCTTCTTATGTTCATTATTCTCCTTATAGATCACATTTCCTTATACATCACACAGATTTATGTCAAGAAAAAGCTACTGCCATTGTGTACTTTGTATATCCAGTTCAACATCCACCCTATAGGAAGCCATCCTTTCACCTGAGTAACTTTAAGTACATGATATGAAAACTTCAACAAGAATTGACATTCCTACTTAATGCCTATAGACTTTTATTGTCAGGAACTCTCCCAACAACCAGAAACTACACAGATCCTGATAGAACAAATGGCACCCACAGTTGCTACCATGTGCAAACTAGGAAACCAAGACATAAAAAAGGAGTGGCATTGTGAATAATGGGTACAGGTAGATCTGAATTCATGAGCTTGGACTATGATCATTCTAGGCAGGTGCCACCTATTAATCTTACTGTTATTATTACATCTTCTTCTTCCCCTCATCTTGGGCATTTCTACTGCCCTGGGTTTTTATTCCTCTCCCCAGTGCAAACTCTGGACTCACCAGCACCTGGTTGTCACAGTGCCATCATTTGTGGCCCAGAGGGAGGCCAGCCTGCATCAGGAAATGCAAGGCAATTCCTCCCTTGAGGGCTGTGGCACGTCACCACCTGCCTCAAGGGTTCTGCCCTCTAGAGCAAATTCCTCTCCAAGTCACCTGTCCAGCCAAAACTTGAGTCTGAGAACACTGGATGGGACAGCTAAAAATACTCCAATAAGTCAATATGGCCCAGTTGGCTCAAGCCCAAACTAAAAGCCAAGCTTATAAGCCTTATCTCTGGTTGGATCCCAGACTGGCTATCAGAAACCTCCAGAAAGTCCCTTTATCAGTGTAGTACTCTCTAAGCACAGAGCTGTATCCATAGTTTATGGATAAAGATGAGGATGAGCCAAGAGAGCTGTGTGAGTTCCGTGCAAAGCGATGAACAGTTGCAAAATTGGATGCAGGCAGCCCCTGCAGAAGAGCTAGAGCTATAGAGCAGCAAATTGAAGGCCTGGACACCCATGTGGCTCACCCAAGCCAGTTTATACATCCTTACAGGAGAGGCAGGGAGAGGGTGAAGAGTGCTATAGACCCTCCCCTACCTCCACAAATATTTAATCACACACAATTAGAGACCAAGTAGGCCATGCTAAAGCCCAGGTTCCAGGGTCCCAGTCAGGTTGAAGGGAGGCATGTTCTGGGGTCTATGCCTATGGGGAACAATGCCCAAGATGAGGGGGAGAAGAAGACGTAATAAGTGGTGTAAGAAAAGTTCAGGACAACCACAGTAAATTGAGATAATCCCTTTAAGCTTGCATAGTATAGAATTTCTTAACAAAGCTATTGTCAAATCCACTTCCTCTCTTAGAGCTACACCCATTGGCCAAGCCTGAAAGCAGATTAGGGAAGGTCTACAGCTCCTTCTCAGTGGACAGCGCCTTATTTCAGGAGCCCTGGGTGAAATTCCAGGCATGTTGGTCTGACCTCAATCCTTTAAGGCAGGAAATAACAGCTCCCCTAGAGACTACCCCATCTGATTGATCACAACATACAAGTGGCCCACAGGCTCCCTAGGGATTACGTTTGACAGTGGATCAGTTGGTCTGAGTATCTCTTCAGACTATAAAGGACCCAACTGTAAAAACCACTCACAATGCCAGAACACAGCAAGATGTTTGAGACTTGTGGCCTCCTCTCAGGCCACAGGCTCCTCAGAGAGCAGCTGGACCTGCAACAGGCAGAAAGATGCCAGCTGTGACCAACTGAGAGGCACGAATGGGATAGGGTGGACCTAAATGGGAGAGAATGGAATTCCCTACCTGGATCCTACAATGACCTGTTTGAATTTTTTGGCAAGTCACTCAACTATCTAGGTCTTTTCCTTTAATAGTACAATGGGAATTGTGCAGAATTGGAAAATTAATCCTCAATTGAAACAAACAATATGAAGTGAAAATAAGAAAAGTAACTTTTTTGTCAAAAGGCAGACTGACTCTCTTTATACACTTTTTAGTGAGTCACTTTATAACTGTCTACTAGAGAAAACAATTATTACCAAAAGCAGGAAAAATCCAGGACCAAGGGTTGAAAATCATTCCAGTGCTGGGCTTTGGGTTCCCCTTGTAAGTGGGTGGGAGCCGCCTGGAGCCAGTGGGGTCAGGCATCCTTCAGAAGATGTTAATGGTCACTTCAATGGGATGCTTGAGAAAACCAGGCAGGTCTGGCTATTGTGGAATTACGTAGTTGTTAGCAGCCAGGGGCTACACACCCACACTGCTCCCTCTTCCTGCTGTCCTGCTTTCTAGAAAGGTGAAAAGCCCCTGTGCTTCAGAGGGAGGAAGATTCTTTTTAATTACCCTCCAGAATGCCTCTCAATGGATGATAGACAATTACAATGTAATAAAAACAAATAAATATACTGCACATATTCAAGAGGTTGGCTCTTTCCTCTTTAGATTACCTTTAGACATCACCATAAACCACTGAAACTACAGGCTGGAACCCGGAACCCTGGTCAGATTTCCCCTCACCATGTAAAAGAAGTTGTGTCCACTCGGCTACAGGGCTCTGGCTGGAATCTTGACACCAAGGTTTTAGTCCTGACTTGACAAATGGTTTTGGACATTGGAACCAGTTTCCTCACCTTGCTGGGTATGTCTCCCAAACCAAACAGACAGAAAAAGAGCTTCACTCTCACTCATGGTTTCTCTTTTTCCCCATCACATGCATTTCCCCAACATGACCCTGGCAGAGGAAATCAAAGACACCAGGACTTGTCAACAAACCCAAGGGAAAGGCACAAGAACAAAGCCTATTGTCTTTCAAAGATACTGGTCCATCTTTGCTGAACATCATTTTGATGTAAACTTTGGGAATTATGAACCGGGATGCCTCTCCACCCTGGCTAGTCTCTCCCTGCCTCCCAGATTCTACCCAACAATCAGTTGGGTTATGCACTAGGAATAATTCTATTAGCCTAAAAAAAAAAAAAAAATTCCTGAGAAAAAAATATTTTGTTAAAAGGTTTTGTTGTTAATAATAATATAGCCTTGCAAAGACAAATGTACGTATCTTTTGGATAGTCTACAATTTGCTTCTCTCTGCCTCTGTAAAGATAAGAGAGGGCTGGCTGATTTCTCCCATGAATTGCTGTGTGATCCTGGTCTGGAATGTTCCTATAAAGTTCTCTACCTGTACTAACTGGGTCACCACCCACCCAGCAGGAGGTTTCCTAGGTGGATATCAGTAGTGATTACTCTTTAAAGGGGAGGAATGTGAAATTAGAGAGTGGGAGGACAAAAAGTGGTTGGGGTGAGTGAGGTGAGATGTGGGGCAAAATGCTTCCTCCTTTTCCTTTAAATCTGATCCGGGACTTTTCAGGAAATTAAACACCGAGACTATTAGCATTAGATAGAAAACAGATGAGGTTAAGACATCGAAATACTAGAGCAGATTCCCTGGGCAGGCAGAGAAGGGACATGTGTAAGCAATCACAGCAGTATTTCTGGAAAAGACCTTTTATGTTTTTAATACTTAACACTTCATAACAGGGACTAATAGGTAGGATAAAAAGAAGGCTGCTCTAAATGCAACTTGGGGGATGAATTATTTTCCAGACAATAGAGTTGGGGGTGGTTAACTTCTTGGGCTTCAATTCTCACCCCTACTGCCCTTGCCCACCCTCCTCTGCTGACAGCTAGGGGAAACTGTGTGGGAGGATGGCATGGGTTGGGGTGCGGGGGTTGACAACCAGATGTGGCATTTCATTCATGGGCTAGTTAAGGAGCCTGGGTGATCCTTAGCCCGCCATGCCATGGCAGGGAAGGGGGCACACCCACATGTCCTGAGTATTGCAAACAGAATAAATGAGATCTAAGTGAGTGGCTGGGGAGAGAGTTGTCCAGTCAGGTGCTGTGCTGGCATAGGAGAGATCCTTTCAAAGGGAACTTTTCCCTCTCCTAACTAATTATATTATATATAACCTCTAATTCCTAGCTGCCAGAATACACAGTCTGAATGAGCTTCCCTCTCCCTCAGATTACTTATCTGAAATTTGGGAATGGCTATACCCCCCTTATCTGCCTAGAGGACAAGAAGGAGAACTTAAAGATGACCCCACAAGAAGATAATGGCATGGGAAATAATAAATTTTTAGCAGGATTTGAGAGTCAAAGGTGTCCTGAGCCCTGTTTCTGTTTATTATGGCAGTGTTGTCACAGGTAAGGTGCAAAGTCTTTCTCTGCATCAGTTTCCCCATCTATAAATTAAGGAATTTGGACTTCCAGTGTTTCTCAGTTAAGGCCCTCTTGTCATCAGGAGTGGGATAATACTTTTGTGTGAAAGGGTTAGCCTAGCTGGCCCATCAGGCACTTTATACCAGCAGTACCCCCATGCACACAATCATGCCAGTGATCAGAAATGGCCTCACATTTCCAAGTGCCTAGAGGGCATCAAGCAGTGGAAGGACTGTTGAAAAATATTTAAGCAGATAAATCAAACATCAGATAAATCAGAATCAAACAAGCAGATAAATCAAACTTCTTTCTAGTTCCACACCCTTTCATGGTCTTCCATGCTCAAGCACTCAATGCAACATAAAGCCAGCTTACCTTTCTGTCATTCATGTCATCGCCTGGACTGTCATATTCACCCTGTAGGAGGGAAAGAGATGCTAGATAAAGCCCATGGAACTGTTAAAAACAGAGAAAAGGTTTTATTTTTTATTTTTAACATCATTCCATTTTTTTTTTCATTCTCATTTGAGGAAGGTCAAAAACATTATATAGTAAGGAACTAACATTCCTTCCACTTTCTTAGTCAATCAACCTTTGCGATGTTTCCTGTGGACAACTTCTCAGACAGAGACTCCCCTCAGATGCTCCAGAAGTCAGCCTGTGCCTCCTCATATCAGAGGCAATGGCACAGCCTGTTTCTGCAAATGGGCATATCCCAGGGAATCACCAGTACCGTGTTCTGCTCACCCCTGCCCATAACTGACTGAACCTAACCTTGTATGTGCCCATTGTAAAGATGTCAGTAAGAAGAAGACTGTCATCTGAGAAATTCCTTCAGGCATTCAGGGATTCCCCACCATGGTCACCTCATTTGGCACAACTCTGTGACACGTGCTAAAGAAGTCACCAACCAAATGAATAGTAGGGGCATTTCATTCACTGGCCAGATAAGTTCTTCAGGAGTCAACTTGAAGAATGTCATTGCACTGTATTATGGGATGTTTATAACATTACTTCCAGCCAAGTAAAGTTTTGATTACAATCTGTTTTCTTTACTTAACCAAACAATAGTATACATAATGTTGAGATAGTTCCTTCAAAGATGTTAAAATAAAATAAAAACATGACACTTAGTATATATTTGCATATTAAGGATGAGGAATTTCACATCCACACAAAACTATCATATACAAATGTCACTTTCAATTATTTAAAGACCTGATGGTCTAGATTGTGTGTTGTCTGGGCCAGAGGCTTTCCTTTTGCCACCATCCACCCATTTCCAACATCTCCTCCTTTTGACCACTTGCAGGCTGTCTCTGCCTTCTCACACTTTCCCCAAAAACAAAAGCAGGGAGTGTAGGAAAAGCTCAAATAAAACTAGTTCATTCTGCCTTTGGGGAAATAACTGGACAGACAACTGGCAAAAATCAAACTGGGGCTTATAGTCAGTCATGAGTTGCCTAGAATCAGCCAAAGTATTTTAATGTCATGATTCATTCCTGCCTCACCTCATATATATCCGCCCACTATGTTGCCTGTGGTTTTCAAGTTTTATAGGCCTGCAAGGAGGGTGCCCACAGAAATGGTACTTACATCATGAAGAGGGTAGGCCGCCTCATAGATATTGTTTGCTATCAGAAAGTTAATGCCTATGGAAGAAAGGAAGATGAAAATAATAACTCTAGGGCAGGAGTTTCTTTTGACACATATTAAGCCCTCACCCATCTCTCAGCTGAGAATCACTGCACCCTCCTCTGTGGCCTTCCAGAATACATGCATTTTTATCAAGCTTTAGTTCTTAGTGTAAGAGCAATATTTTTTCATTTCCAAATACAAAGTTATGTTTTGCTATCAGACAGGCTCTCTCAAACTTCACATTCCTCCTGTCCTTGCATATTCAGATCTCTCCAGTCTAATAACTCTCCTCCTCTACCACCCCTCCATGCCCATCAATGTCAGTTGAGAATATCTATGTTCAATGATAGCATAAGGATTACTATATAAATTACTGTGATTATGATTAATAAAAATACGTCCCATAGCACTTTATCTGAACTCACTTCTGAGAGCTCCCTGTTCCTGCACAGAGTGGTGGTTATTTCTGTCCATGGCTGATCAGTGGACCATGAGCTGCCTCAGGTAGGAACATACAGGGCAGTAGTTCTCAAAGTATGATCTGGAGAACCCTGGAAGTCCCTATGACATTTTCAGTGAGTTCATAGGTCAAAACTGTTTTTTATAATAGTACTAAGATAATATTTGCTTTTTCATCCCTAGTCTCTCATGAGTATACAGTGAAGTTTTGTGACATGTGATGACATCATCCCATTACAGCTGATGGAATGTATGTTTGCATGTTCTTGTGCTTTAAAAGTTTTTCAGTTTTAACTTTTAATGCAATACATATTAACCAATATAACCCACCTAAACAAAAGCCCTCTGGGCACTCTCAATGATTTAAAAGTATAAAGGGTCTCTGAGACCACAAAGTTTGAAAAGCCACACAAGGAATTAATTTTTTAATCTCAACAGTATTTCACACCACCAGCCAATAGCAAACCTATGAAATATATGTTCAATGAATCAATGACTCTGTCCCTTCAGCTCTAATATGCTCACAACACAGAACTTTGTGCTCAGCATTGAAGCATGGTTATTGTTTCATTCATGATTTTATTCAGCAGCTATGAAGTGGTCTACATGTTCTGCCTGACTCGGATGGGAGGATTATTCTCACCAATTCCAGCACCGAGGATCTGGTCATGCTGGGAGGTACACTTAACCATGGGGTGTGGGAGGAGTCTCTGCTACACAGTGATTTCCCTTGTTTCAAATGCACTTTCTGCCCTGAATCATTCTTTCCAAAGAGACTATAGATAGGAGTGAGATGAGGAGAAAATTGGTTTTGGAGGGAAACATATATGATATCTAAACTCTTCTGTAATCTGCATTTTCAGGGCTCTGAATAAAGGACAGATTTGGATAACAAATCTAAACAACAGTTACTCATTAAAATTCATGATCTTTCACCTCCCATTTTACCCAATGCCCCACCTACAAACCCAGAAACTACTAAGGCTCATAAACAATCCTCTCTCCTCATCATCCTCCCCTTTCTCAAATCATGTGCCTATTCACCTCAGTTCTAGGATAATGGATGCCAGAAAGACCAGCCATGGGCTCAATGGGAACAGAGACCACAGGGGCACTCAGCAGAAGTGGCCATTTTCCAATGAGTTGAGAGCCGTGTTTGGTGCAGCGGCATTACCAAAGGACCAGTCCTTTACTGATTTTGAGTTTCCTCCTTGGCATGAACATAAAACATCAGAAATAACTCTGGGGAGTGGGGGAGGATCAGAGGGTGGGTAAAGGGAGTGTGGGTTGGGGGAGGGGTGCCCCAAGCCTCAATGAGCTGCAGATTTGTCCTACTTGCAAGACTACAATTTCACTCTGAGCATCATTAATCAGTTCAAGAGCCATAACCACAGCAATGTAAAGCCACCCTACAATAATCAAGGGGAGGAGTCCCACGTAGGGAGGGGGTGGGGTAGTTCAAAGCTACACAAGGGCTGTCAACATGAATAGAGGCTGAAGCATCACAGGCCGGTAGGTCTTCAACTACACCACACCCCACGCACTATCCCACCCAATCTCTTACTCCCTCTTCTCCCCCCCACACCCCATGGTTGCCATGGCAGCAGTATACACCCTGAAGACAGTCTCAAAATTGCATAGGAAAAGTTAAACAGGTGTTGAACTCTTCTGCTAATTCTCAACTTTGCTGAGCACAGTAGCTGAGTGTCTGAGAGAATTAGGCTGACAACCTGAACTCTGGGTCTTACTGCCAGATCCTCAGAAAGATTTCAAATCATTGGAGTTCTAAAGCTGTGCGCCCCTCCCCCATCTCAAATAAAGTTTCCTTTCCAATGCATGACTAAAGCAGGCAGCTCACTTCACTTGTGGAATTTGTGTGTGCAAAATTGTTTTGTGTTCCTCAAGGTCTACAAGGTACCTGAAATCAGAGAGCACTCCCCTCTCACCTTTGCCTCTTATTTATAGCACCTAGTTCCCTGCTGGGAACACAGAAAGAATAAGGATTGTTACAAATAACTACCCTATGGCTAAACGTATCTCAGTGACTTTCCATTTATCACAGGCACCCACCTTCCTCACTATTTCAGTTTTCTTTGGCAATCTATGCTGATGAAGAAACTTTAAACTCCGATTCATTAGTTCACATCCTAAGAGAGGAAACCGAACAAATTGGTTCTTTGCCTTGGAGCCAATATAATTTATGTGATCCTAACCCTGATAACCAGAGCCCCCACATGCAGTCATGGAATGTATCTCTGTCTCCCACGCCTATGGACCTCCTCTTTTTTCAGATGGTGTTCTATAGGCAATCCCAATCACTGGCTAATGAGCAGAGGGAGGGAGTAGGACATAAAAGAAAGAAGAATGGGGGTGGAGGCAAATTGCAAAGTCACTGTGCATCCACAACTTCACCCATGAATGGGAATTGTTTTGGCCTCTTGAGTCACCCACAGACTTCAGAAACCAAGATTCTACCCCCAAACAAGCATGAAAATTGGTTTGAAAGAAGAAGAAAATAATCAAACATTTTTTAAAAAGAGTCTGCTTTGAAAATTGAAATTCTGATTTTTTTTTTCCTTTCTTTTCAGCAAAAATGGGTTAATTGGTTCCATCCATGTGGACATAATGGTAAAGCTTTCTTCTTTGGGATCACATCTATAGTCTTTCCTCTCTGCTCTAGACCCAGGGAGAGAGATGCCTGACTTCTTTTCCCATTACTCCCAGAATGGGGGCCTGGGAGAAGGAGAAAGCATGGAGGATGTTCCCTCTATCCACAGAGAGTAGCAGTGTCTCAGCTCCTAGCACAATTCACTAGAGACACCCTCCCTGACCCCTAAGTCCCATCAAATCACCCTGTACTTCATACCTATTGCTGTTAGAACCGTAACTCCCAAAGGACAAGGTTTGTGTTTCCTCTTTGCTCATCACTGACCACAGCTCTGCACAGCCTGATCCAGCCAGATAGGTCCTCTGCATCCAGAGCAGAGAGGGATTGGGCCCAAGACTGGTACCTGAAAACACATACTCAGAACACAAACCTGAGGCCTAGCATTTAGCTTCCGAAACATCTCTGGTTTCCTGGACACAAAGGATCAATCAAAGCACAGTTTATGGTCTGCCTCCCAGAGAGAGTCTTATTAAATCTGCAAGTGGTGCTGGGTGACAGGGACTAAGCTCTAGTCCTTCCAGGCCAAACTTAAAGGAAACTGCTCCATCGGGACAGGTACTTAGAGGAATGGTGCTGAACTGAAAACCCATTTGGTTTTGATCCCCCCCAGAACAGGGCCCAATCCACCCGGCGTGCTGCTTTCATCCCTGCACTCCAGCCGGACGTAAATCTAAACCAGAGCCCCCAGACAGTGCACTGAGCAGAGACTATATTTACCCATCACCAAATTGTCTTGACATGTGTTTAATTACTTAAATGCCTTTAATCCACAGTCTTTTCTTCTAACAAAATATAAACCAGTTCAGCTGCATGAATGATAAACCAGATGTTTACAGCACACAACATGGTCTGGCTTCAGTCAAAATAATTAAGACATCGTCTCCTGAGTGGGGAGGGGAGACGCACAAAGCATATTCGTGTAAATGCTCTGACACCAAAGTGTCTATGAAAATGTAACTCCATCAATATGCAGTTCTCTGTCCACGAAAAGGCAACAACAACTTTCACATGAAGGAACAGGAAAGGTGTCCATCCTCCTCAGACGTGATTACAGGGGCTTGGGTTTCTTTCCATGGTCAAGTGTACTTTAAATGCTTTCCATGATGGGGAAAACTCCCAGATCCTGAAAGCTGGCCTTATGTTATGATTAAGGAGGCATCATGAGGCTGGGCCAAGACTGTGATGGCTCACATGTTACTGCCACCATGCAGAACCAAACTCACAAATATATTTAGTCTTTGAACATCATGTGTGTATTGGTCCATAATCTTTTGCTTCTAAGGGTAAATAAGAAAGAGGTTCCCTATCCACACCTTTGTAAATGGTCTCTCTATTACTATTCCCAACCTACCTTTTCCTGATTTGAGTGTGTCATTTGTTTCTGATTCTCTTGAGTGGCTCTCATCATGTTTTTTCTTTTTTTATTATTATTACTTGCTTTCTTTGTATGATCTCTCTTGCCAGACAACCACGTGGCTTATTTCCTCTTGCCCTCAAATGTTAATTCAAAAGTAAGCCCGCCCCATAAAGGCAGGGATTGGTGTCTGTTGTGTTTGATTTTCTACTCTATTCCCTTAGTTCTATTATAGAATCTGAATGGCACATAGTATGTACTCAATAAAAATATTTTTTGAATGAATAAATGAATCTAACATTTGGCAGACCTCAGCTTCCTCCTCTCTGGGAAACCTTTCCTAATAACTTTATTCATTAATTAATTGATTAAAGAGCTATGAAGACAAGCTAAGGAACCCAAGTTATAAATCTGGCTTTGAATCTCTAACCTTGGGCACCAAGATAATCTCTCTTTGATGAAATAAGTTAACATCTGTTAAACCTATTTTGCATGGTAGTGTACAGGAAATAATGAGAGTAAAAGTGTTTTGA